AGATCTCAGCGATCTTTGAACCTCCTTAATCTGCCAGACTGCAAGGTGGTGAGGAGATGGAAGTGCAGCACGCGGATAGGTGATCCTATCTTTCCTGGCCGTTCAGTGTTACTCCCTTATGTGCATCGGTTTTCCTTGGGTACTCCCACATGCAAAACAATCATTAATGGCATTAGGCAAAGCTGTCAGTGAATGGTCCTCCTGAAAAGGTGTCTTGAGAGTCTGTGAGGCTTCCTGGATAAATCAATCACGTGTTTTTTTTTCTCTCAAATAACAACATTAAATCGCTAACTCACTCTTGTTTTGCCATTTGACTGCTGCAAGCCTGCATAAAAACATGATTATGAAATAAGTAAAATCTGATCCCAACCAATATCAATTATATAGACTCATCCGATCTGAATCAGATCTGCATAATCTTGGATCAATTTGGTTTTGATTTCGAATATTCATCTGAACCACATGATCAGGTCTCTTCAGACCAACCTGTGTAGTTCCATTTGTGTGCTATGAAGAAGGGCCATTACCCGAACGTCGATTATTATTTACATTATTTCCTTTCAAGGCAGTGTTATTGACGAATGTGTTGAGTTTTGTTGTGTTCCTTCCGGTGCATACTGTACAGTGCATTATCCAAATTTCCATGTTGAAATAAATGTAAATGTTGACTTAAAATTAATAAATCTATACTAGGCGACAATACTGCACATACTCATCATGCCCGGAAAAAATCAAATCAAATATTCCGAATTATTAATTATCAGGTCATGCGTGGCTATTTGCAATGTAAATAAACATTGAGACATACACATAACAGCTATTTATATGTCTCTATATGAATTTCAAGGACATCAGCCCTTTGCTTCATGTTACAACTGCAGTGCAGCAGCTATTTTTCAAAGTCAACGCTATTCTGTGAAACATTTATTTAAAAAAAATATAGTAGCCTTGCCACATACCACCATCTGGTCAAGAAGAAAGTGGTTCTAATTTTGATTTACCCTCTGCAGGGTCTCAAGACCTAACACTGTTTTCAAATTCAACAATGTGTTAACGTGTTCTTTAATCCATCATTATTATTAACAGTGCACAGTAGAACTCCTTTTATCTAGTCATATGGGGGGGGGGGGGGGTGTGAATATTCTGTATCATATTATGCCACGTGATTTACACGAATTTGCCCCACTTATCCGTAGGATTAAATCACGGATGATCGCGGATATTAGGATGTACTCCTCTTATCCATGAAAAATGTGCAGCTAATCAGAGTAATGATTAATTTTTTCTGAAGTGCACAGACCCACGGTTACCCGGCAGGTAATAGGATGCATTTACCACGCGACTCCTCTTGTCCTCGAAAACAACATCCTGGTAAACTGTAATAATAAGAGCGGTCCAGGCAGTCCAGCAACCTCCATCTCTTTGGCCCTCTGAAGCTGGACCATTTAATTCCTTTTTATCCACAGTGTGGTCTACTTCCTTCCGTACTGTGAGCATTCAGGTGCTCGTGGTGTGGTGAGTGTGGTGGCTAGGAGAAGTTGTTGCACTGTGGATGGAGGCTATGTGGAAGGGAGTGGGTGAGCTGCCGTGACCTTGGAAATGAACACTCTCTTCTCTTAATTCTAGATTTTGAAGCGTTCGTGACTGCAAGGATTCATACTCTTTGGTTTTATTGGGTAAAGTCACGTAGATAAAATAAAACAAAATAAAATAATTAAATCACGACGTTTCGGAGGCAACACAAGCTTCCGTCTTCAGGTGGAAAAGTCAACGCAGAATATCTGTGTCAGGGGCACAGTTCAGAGACAACAGGGATTATATACAGGTTAAGGGAGGGGGGAGGAGTCAGTAAGGGTCCGTGGGTGGGTGGGAGGGCTGGGTTAAGCAGCCTTTTGATAGGCTGCTGCGGGTAACAACCACTTCTTCTCTGTCAGCAAAAGTCCTGCAATGACTTGAACCACCCCTCGTATACACACTGGATTGCGTGCGAGCGTACTGCGTTATAATATTTACGTTTGTACGTAGAGCTTCTTTCGCACCGTACGTAGCCAACCGTGCTCATTGGAGGTGCGGGGGAAGGACAACAAACTACACACACACAGACACACACAAAAAACTATTCTAAACAAACGAGTATTTGATTTCAATTTTAAAGTGCACAGCTACCGGTGTCACTGGGTACATAGTTGACAGAGGACATGGTCCACACATGGGGGCAATGCGAGAGGCAGCTCTCACGATGGCACGCAAGCTGCGAACGTTTCCATTACAGCTGCTGCGCACACGCAGGCACGCTTCCATGCATGCATGCACACATACAGTGAGGGAACAAAAGTATTTGATCCCCTGCTGGTTTTGTACGTTTGCCCACTGACAAAGAAATTATCAGGCTATAATTTTAATGTTAGGTTTATTTGAACAGTGAGAGACAGAATAACAACAACAAAAATCCAGAAAACGCATGTCAAAAGTGTTATAAATTGATTTGCATTTTAATGAGGGAAATAAGTATTTGACCCCTCTGCAAAACATGACTTAGTACTTGGTGGCAAAACCCTTGTTGGCAATCAGAGAGGTCAGACGTTTCTTATAGTTGGCCACCAGGTTTGCACACATCTCAGGAGGGATTTTGTCCCACTCCTCTTTGCAGATCTTCTCCAAGTCATAAAGGTTTCGAGGCTGACGTTTGGCAACTCGAATCTTCAGCTCCCTCCACAGATTTTCTATGGGATTAAGGTCTGGAGACTGGCTAGGCCACTCCAGGACCTTAATGTGCTTCTTCTTGAGCCACTCCTTTGTTGCCTTGGCCGTGTGTTTTGGGTCATTGTCATGCTGGAATATCCATCCACGACCCATTTTCAATGCCCTGGCTGAGGGAAGGAGGTTCTCACCCAAGATTTGACGGTACATGGCCCCGTCCATCGTCCCTTTGATGCGGTGAAGTTGTCCTGTCCCCTTAGCAGAAAAACACCCCCAAAGCATAATGATTCCACCTCCATGTTTGACGGTGGGGATGGTGTTCTTGGGGTCATAGGCAGCATTCCTCCTCATCCAAACACGGCGAGTTGAGTTTATGCCAAAGAGCTCCATTTTGGTCTCATCTGACCACAACACTTTCACCCAGTTGTCCTCTGAATCATTCAGATGTTCATTGGCAAACTTCAGACGGGCATGTATATGTGCTTTCTTGAGCAGGGGGACCTTGCGGGCGCTGCAGAATTTCAGTCCTTCACGGCGTAGTGTGTTACCAATTGTTTTCTTGGTGACTATGGTCCCAGCTGCCTTGAGATTATTGACAAGATCCTCCCGTGTAGTTCTGGGCTGATTCCTCACCGTTCTCATGATCATTGCAACTCCACGAAGTGAGATCTTGCATGGAGCCCCAGGACGAGGGAGATTGACAGTTCTTTTTATGTTTCTTCCATTTGCGAATAATCGCACCAACTGTTGTCACCTTCTTACCAAGCTGCTTGGCAATCGTCTTGTAGCCCATTCCAGCCTAGTGTAGGTCTACTATATTGTCCCTGACATCCTTGGAGAGCTCTTTGGTCTTGGCCATGGCGGAGAGTTTGGAATCTGATTTATTGATTGCTTGCTTCTGTGGACAGGTGTCTTTTATACAGGTAACAAGCTGAGATTAGGAGCACTCCCTTTAAGAGTGTGCTCCTAATCTCAGCCCGTTACCTGTATAAAAGACACCTGGGAGCCAGAAATCTTTCTGATTGAGAGGGGGTCAAATACTTATTTCCCTCATTAAAATGCAAATCAATTTAAAACATTTTGACATGCGTTTTAAATGGATTTTGTTGTTGTTATTCTGTCTCTCACTGTTCAAATAAACCTACCATTAAATTATAGACTGATAATTTCTTTGTCAGTGGGCAAACGTACAAAATCAGCAGGGGATCAAATACTTTTTCCCTCACTGTACAAGGACAGCGTCTGTGTGTGTGCGCACACGAGTCAAATGTGAACAAACGCGTGCATTTGTGTACACCACAGTCGCCGTCCTTCCCCTCCACCTCAGGCCCTAGCTACAATCCCCTAGGTGTTTACAGACACAGCTACTGTAAAGGCTGAACTGAGCTAATAAAATGTATACAGATGGGGCCCCACAAATCCACCGAGAATCTCTGCCGGCTGATCTCCACCCCACCCCACACCGCCCCCCCCCTTCAGCATCTTGTTATTCAGCCATTACCACTTGCCATCTGGAAGATGGGAGACAAAATACCCTGCGAAAGGTACGGGCAGGAAGGTTGAAATACAGGGTGCATGGGACATTGAAAATGGGTGCGGCTCGGGTTGAGGTTTGGACAAGCGACTGAAATCGTTGTGGTTTTTTTTTTGCTGCATTAACGCACGTATTTACAGTATTCACGAATGTTGTTGAGCAAAGGTTTATTCAGTTTGGCCGAGGGAAATATTGTTGCCCAGCAATGAGCTTAAAGATATATTTTCCTCTTGTCCCAAACTGTCAGATGTAGAGCCAGTGCATATCAGTCAATAACCAAATAATCCATCCATCTGAAATAATTTTGTGTCAGCGATGGAGAGAATCAGCATTGTGAAGGGTCAAGCGACACTCCATCCAATCTCTGCTCCAGTCACGCAGCATGACAATTCTGTACCCATGTAAGCGTTGATTATTACAGGTACTTTGAATTCGTGATGAGTGTTATTTTTAGGTAAAAATATTTGAGCTTGCGTAAAACTGTACTGTCAAGGTACAAGTGTACCGGCATATTTTCTTAAAATCATGTTTCTCATCGGATGCAAAAACATGTAAGGGGTTATAATCGTAACGCATGACATTTTCAAAGCGTCATATGTTTGCAATTGCAGAGACCGCCACTGAGCCGAACCAAGGTAACTGTAAAATAATTAATAGTACCCTAACATATTCTTGGTTCTTTCGGTAAAGTCAAGTAGAAGGGAAACAATAAAAGAATGTTTTATATTTTTATTATTTTATTGTTTTCCTTCTACGTGACTTTACCGAAAAAACCAAGAATATGAATCCCTGCAGTCACGAATGCTTTACATCACAATTTACCCTAACATGGTTTAATTCTGGTTGGACGTAGTTTTTCAGACAGGATACTTTACATTCTGCTGTGTATTACCAATGTTGCAACTATGTAAAAATGGATTTTTTTTTAGAATTTGCTATTTCTTGTCCACAAATTAATCATAACGATGTTAAGAGCTGTTGTACAGGGTGGTCCAGGTGTCTTGTGACCCCCATTTCATTCTCTAAAACTGAATATTTTTAAAGTAAGGTTTATTTCAAACAAAAATGAAGATGCAAAGGAAAAATAAGTTCGGGGTCAATGAATTGGGAGTCACATCTGGACCACGCTGTACATTCACAGTTAAACGTAAGAGGCCGAATTGGAAATATATATATAACTTGAGCTTGCCCGAAGCGGCATAAAAAGGGGCACAAAGAAGTGTTCACAAATCCTTGCGATGGGTTTTATATATTGGCGATGACAATATACTTATGATCAGACGAAAATGTGTATTAAAGTTGGGGTTTAGTTGTAAATGTAACGTGATGTAAAGTTCGGTGTGTTATATTGGAAAGGCCCAATTTTACTTGGGTGCACGTGAGTGGTATGTATAACTATCTAAAGCCACGTGCGTTTGAGTTCATATTGCTCCACAGGCCAGGTGGAGAGCAAATGTGTGCGCTTCAAAATGGACCGGGGGAGATTTGAAAACAGAGCTGCGACCACAATTTAAATCCCCCGTTACATGCTCCATTAAGTGGTGAGTACACTCTCACGGATCAACAATCGGGATGGGTGGGCAGGGTGGGCAGGGTGCACGCATTGCGGGAACACGAGCCGAGGAAACGAAAAAAACATGAAGGGAGAGATTTCAGGGCACGGGGGAGAGAAGTGGAAATGGGAAGGAGGGCTGCCGTTTGTAAAACCTGAGGGTAAAATAAAAAAAAAATCATAAAGGGGGCAAGAAAATCTCAAAGGACGGACATGGGGAAGGTGAAGGAAACAAGTCCGATGATATTTAAACATTGCACAAAGAGGGAAGGGCACTGAGAAAATTCACGGAGTAATCACATTACAACACGTAGCCAAGTTAAGCATTTCTAATCGGTGAGTCGTATTAGAGGGGCTAATCACTTGATATCCTAATCCACCGTCGGCAATGTCGATTATATACTGAGAGTGCTCAAACTCTTCACGTGGATAAACCCAGTGTTATCGGTGTTTTATCAGTGACAAAAAAATGTGTTGAATTGGATACAGATGTGACTGCTCCTGAAATGATAGAGGTCCTGTGGGCACGTGATGACTGATAAATGAAATACATCACAGGAGGGGATTTAGTGGAATGGGCCTTCTACGCTCTCCCTCCAAAGGAGAAACGGAACGTTGGATGATCGATGCGACAGATGCACTACAACCTCGTTTAGCGCAGGCTGCACGGTGCAGGTGTAGATGGCATTGTGGAGTGTGGCAGGGAATAACGCGATTTGCTAATCCTCAAGGCTCAAGTGAACCACACGTAATTGTATATGCCTATGGCAGAACAGAAGATTGCACCACCAATTCGCATTATGGTATTGTATCACAAAATCACTGATAATTTTGGGAGCAGTATGTCGGAACTCAAGTTCTCATGTTCAGACATACTACTTGTCCATAACAATATCCCAGACCTGCACATGCTACGGTAAATCTTACGGCAATCCACATTTTGTTTACGTAGCCGGTATTATTTATTAATTCATCAAGTGCATTGGAAGACCGAGATTCGTAGACTTGGAGTTCACAGAATTTGCTCCGCTGGTTGGATCATTAGCTTCCCAGGCAGGGAGGGAGGATGTGGTGGTGGTGGGGGGGGGCGATGTGAATGGTGAATCTATTGTACCCCCCCCCCCCCCCCCCCCAGGTAGCCTGTGGAGAAATATATATGGTGTTGTTTTGCAAACCCAAACCAGAGACAGACCTCAATTGTATTATCATCCACAACAAACACATTTAACAATTGTGATGCACGGATGCATGTTTGGTGAACGGTTCTGGAATTTTTCTCTATAAATAAACCCAAAAGGAAAAATAATTTCGTGAATGCGGTGTCATTTTAAATGACCATGGTGTACTACAATATTGAGATGTGCTTTTTACTGCACCTTGACGTAACCCTAGCTATAAATTGTTATTCAGAAGAAAACTGTCACCGCAGTGAAAATTAAATGCTCCATGGGTCATTGTTAACACCTTGCGCTGGCTGCATCGTAAAGGATGCCTCTGCACGTGTGGGTTTGATCAATGACTGTGGAGTGATCCATTCTTTCCCGGCTTGGTTAGTATGCCAGCCTACCTCCAACCCACCACTGCCTCTGCATTTCCAATTCTAAGTGAAATCCAATGATACATAGGACATTTCATATTCAGGACAACTACGTCTCTGGTCATAATTTATTCAACGGAATATTTTAGAGTAGGAAATATTTTCTAAGAAGTTAGTGTGTTTGGCTTCAGTAAGTCACGTGGGGCCAAACTATACTATATGCCCGTGCTTAATACAAAACGAGTGTACATGCGAATCCAATTGAAATGTATAACAATATAAAGTGCAAAAAAACAACCGACACATTCTCTCCCTGAGAATTCTGTAGTTTTTTTTTCCAGTGGCAAAGACTGAACAAGTACTATCTAATCAAAGAATGTATGAACACACTAAGTGGATTTTTATCAGGAAATTAGCGCTTGTGTAGATAAATATTATTGGAACAATAGTGCATGGTTTAATGCAAGCATTAAACACAATATAAAGCGTATAACTAAACGCATGTTTATAACGTTTATTATATATGCACACGATAACTGGGACATTCTCATCAATCCTACCCGGGCATTGTAATTTGAATCTTAGAATTTAATTTGATCCGCAATGTTATTGTGTTATGGTGGAATCATGCAATTGTGGTAGGGGGTTAACATATACACTGCTATATGTATATATATCCTTGGCTTGAGCTACATGTACATATAGCCTTGGCTATAACCTAGCATATACATGAGGTAGCTACGTGTACATAAAGCCTTGGCTCTAGCCTAGCATATACACATGGTAACTACGTGTACATATAGCCTTGGCTATACACTTAGATTAGCTGTTCTGTGAATCCCGGCCCTGCATGGGCACGGGTAAGTATGTGTCTGGGCCAGCCTCCACTCAGCCGTCTAGGCCCCACAAGCCCTAACCTTCTTGCCACCACAGAGTTGTGGTGGAATCGGGCCACATCCATGTGCGAGGCATTGGCAAGGAATTTTAACAGTGATCCTGGCCGGGTGGAATCGGCCAGCATCGCCATTTTGCCCTGCAGGAATCAGTGATGCTTAGCCAAGCTAAGCATAGCCAGAGTTTAGCAAAGAGAAGTTTGACAGTAGAATTGTAATAGAATTGAAGTATGTTGCACAGATCTTCTATTGGCAGAATCCCTGTGAGTATCCCATTTTATTTAATGGAGATCTTAACATGGGAATGTGTCCATAGAAGAATCATGATTCGTGCAGAAATTGCCCATCTTCAAAGAACACAGAGTCATCATAAACACAGCAGATATACACATGTATACAGTGTATAGATGTATCTATGAAGCCGTCTACAGTAGGCTTGGCCTTTTGCCCATATCATGTGTGTCCAATACAATTAACTGAATGATTAGTGGCAATTTTCCATGGAAAACACATTAAATCTATTAAATCTATTGGCTACACCTATAATGGGCACTCTGGAGGCTGCTGATGGCTCATGCTTGCTTCACATATAGACCAAAAAACTGATCCTGAAAGGTTTTTAATGACTGCTTAATCCTAAGTAGGCCTTGATTAAAGCCTTTAAAAAAAAGACATGGGTAGACTTGCACTTATTTTAACGTTAATGCAATGTTAAGTACCATATACTGCAATATCACACCTAGCAGTATTAAATCGACTACTAAAAAGCACTAAACACAAAGATGGGGAATTTAAGACTCTACGCTATGTTCCCCTCTATCCACCGAATCATTAATAGGAACATGCATGGAGGCAGCGCATTAAACATGCTCATTCGTTTCACAGCGATGAGCTGATGCAGCGGTGTGGCCTGATCTCTATAGCGGGACAAATTCCGCCAGAGGCAAGAACGCCTTTCTGATGAGGACCGAGTTCCCAAGTCGATACATGATTTCTCTTTCATGAGTGCGCTCAGCGCTGGCACAGAACACGAAGAGGGAAATGTGCTTTAAATCACGCTCAGTTTAACTCCAAACCGGCAATTTGATTTTTTTTGGGGGCCAGATAGTGCACCAGAGACAATGCAGCTTACGGTCGCTCCTTACACAACTGCACGTTGGCTCGTCCGAGAGTGGTCTCCCAAGACACGGTGCGCTGTTTTGCTGTCATCGAGCCCATATCAGAAGCGCACGCAGGGTGGCATCAATTATTTATGGCTTCGTAAAAAATTCAAAGGGAACACCTGAGCGAGGGGAAAACCCGTAGCCTCATGTAAAGAGCAGTTTTAATTACCATGCTATGGTGGGGATGATCAATGGGCATCGCTTGGCCCATGGTTGTAGCAGTCTATAAAATGAGTGATATTATTACAATTAAATATTCAAACATTTCTCTAAATTGAACAAAATCCCCTGCGGGTTTAATGTAAGTGCTTCCGAATAGAATGTATTTGCGTGTCTGGTGCAATAGGTATATATTTGTGATTTGCATGTTGTACTTTGTATACAGTATAGATAGCAGGGTATGTATTTTTTCTTCATATTTACCTACTATGACAAACGGATCAGCAACGTGGACGCTGGCAAAGAGAAAATACCACACTAAACCATATGATTCCATGCAACACGACTGCACGAATGAAAGCCTGTCAGTATAAGGTGCCTATGTTAAATTATATTGGCACTCATATCATTTGGGTCGTCCTTTTCCTGAAGACGACCGCTTGTGTTGCCATCGAAACGTCGTAGTTTTTGTTGTTTGTCATGTTCTTCGAACCTATCTATGCGACTTTACCGAAAGACCCAAAGAATATGAATTCCTGCAGTCACGAAAGCTTTAAGTCAAGATCTATTGGCACTGTTCATTATACTCTTGTAGAAAGCTGAAAAGGATACAAAAGAAGCGTGGAGATGTGCATGCATGGACTTATACTGAGAGAACGCATGCTATTCCTATAATATATCAATTTACAGCCCTATGTAGATCCACTGCTGGGTGAAGGCCTTCCCATGCCAAAGTCGGTCATAGGGGTTGTTTCACCATACGTCACCTTTCTGGTCAGTGTGTGTTGGCAAATAGGGCACTAAGGACCAGTTCAGATATCATTCACCACTGATTGTTACCCGTGGATGAAAATTGTATTCTAACCGCAAAGTTTATTCACCACATACAAATACAAAACATTCTAAATTGTTACATGCATGATTCAATTTAAACAATCTTGAACATAGTAATAAATATAAATGTATGACTCGATGCCTCAAGAGATACCTAGTACATGCAGTCTTACACAGAGCATGTATGTTGCAGGTCGCTCCTGCAAGTTCCTCCCAAGAGCCTGATGCATTGGTCATGTAAGTGACGATGGGTCCCACAATATCTGAATACACAGACCTATATAGTGGCACCTCAAATGGTAACCAAGAAGCACAGCAACTGGTATTTGTAATGCATGGTACTCAGACGATGGGGTTGGGTGACATTCATGAATGTTTGTGCACAGCACCTTACTTCCCATGACATATTCCACAAAATAGTTCACGCTCAAAATGACTTTGAGACGCTGCTGCAGTGCAAATATATGAAAAGAGCATTGCATGTAACTGAGAGATGACCATCGTGGACAGATCCACTGTGATACCAGCAATTTTGTTCTCAATAAAATATCCATGGCCCAATAATAAAAAAAAATTGGGTCGTAAAGAAGATGCTAAGACAAATTTCTACATATTCCCTGCTGGAGACAAAACATGTTCAATTTGGAAAAAAAAACACGTATTTCCCCATTGTGTGTGTGTGTGCAAGTTTTTCGTGCAATTGCATGAGAGTTCAGTAACACTATTGGCTGAGATGACTCATTGATATCAATACCAGAGCAAACACAACATTGTTAGAAAGGCGTTTCAAAATTGATTAATCTTTTAGGTGTGTAGGGTTTTTGTTTCCTACAAATATATTATTTGCTTGGTTTAATGCTATGGTCAGGTATAACAACGGAGTGGCAGCCAATAAATGTGAAACGTCCCAACAGCACGTCCACCGAGGAGATGGAGCGATGAAATCAGCTCATACTGACGAAGTGGATCATTACATCGCAGGGTCGTGAGAGGCACCGACGGCTTGGGGAGGCCTTCATCCAGCAGTGGAATGACCACGGCTGCTGATGATGAATGCATGACCACTGTCCATGCCATCTACCCTGCTGTGATGCGACAAAAACCAACGCCCAATCAAAATTTCCTGTAGCCCACGCTAATGCCATATAAAACACAAATTACACACACAAAAACACATTTTTTGGATGACACATTTATTCAATAGTTATGAGTAATTATGCTAATTAGCAAAATCACATGGATAACAAGGACATGAGGAAACCACATCTAGACCGTCTTTTATTTATTAAAAAGCCTACAAAGTTTGGTGGTCTGGACGTGAACGTGCTGCAGTTTTTAAGTCGAGGGAAAATGTTTCTGTTTCAAAAGCAGCTACAGCTGAAAATCAATTGATAAGTGATTATCAGAGTGTGAACACATAAGGCCTTTTGCTTGGTTGAACGTAACATATCATTGCAACTCACATTAGGTCTTCCATTGATTTGATAAATTATTTCCGTTCAGATTCAAGCTGGCAAGAGGTGTTTTATATAATTGTACTCTCACACACGTATAAATATTTATTTAATTTGTAATTTGCTCCTTAATTACATTGCTTATCTCTTGAGAAAATGAACACAATTCTGAATAGTTGTTTGTGCTCGGGGAACACTGTGAAGATATTTTGAAATGTACTTTTATTGTTGGGGTTGAGGAGATTAATTTTACATTTTAAAAAATGCAGAGTTTGCACGTGCCAAATAGAACCTATGGATGTTTCATGCATTCAACGTCAATTAGAGAGGCGGATAGCTCATGAATGACATTAACAAATGCATTTATAATTGTATACTCCTCCATTGATACATCAACAAATTGAAAAGTTAATCGGACTTATTGAAAAGATAAATATTAAACATGTTGCGTGTTTTTTTGTACCATTGTGGGCAAAATATGCATTATTGTTAATGTAGTTGTTTTGCTGACTTGTGTGTTGAACTCCTTTCGCACCGCATGCAGCCAACCGCGTGAAGAGTAGCAAACCGTCGTGCCTCAAGAAATGACATTTTCAACCACTCTACTCGGTGTGAGATACGTTGCAGAAAACGTGGTTACGTCAAGAACCATGCGTGGAATTTAACTGAGAAACAAAGAGAAAGAACACGTGGATTAATAGAACATACGCGAGTCAATGACGCTGTTCGAACTGTTGAGAAAAGCAAGAGGGTTTGGGCACGACACGGCATGGCTAGCAGGGCCGACGGCCGACGGAGTGACAGCCATTGGAGATGCAAACGCGTCCCGAGAGGACGTCAACCGTCAGCCAACGTGGCGGAACGATTAGAGCGGCCCGCGTGCAGGTGCTGACGTAGATTGTTACACCTGTAGTGACATCACGGGATGTCAACGTGCAGTGCCGGCCCTAGAGAGGCACGGCGTGCGGTGTAGCGACATCGCGGATACCACAGTGGTGAGGGTGTAGTACCGACCCTAGAGGGGCCCGGTGAGCACTGATTGATAGCGCTAGTTGGCACCACGCTAGGCGTGCAGTGCCAACCCTACAGGACAGGGTGTGTGAGTGCCCGCCGAAGGATAAGGTTTCTAAAGGCCATGGCACTCTGGTTGACCAGGGAGGACACGTGACCAGTCAAGCCTACAAAGGGGCCCCAAGTGGGTGCTAGGGGTGGTCACGTGGTTGGGACCCTGATCCTTCCCGAGGATTCTGGAAGGTGGTCGTGGCCAAGGGCAGGGGCCAGCCACGCCACAGGGAATATAAGCCGGGTCCCGAGAGGGGCCAGGGTTGTTGTGGTTCACCCTGGAAGAAACCTTCGTCTACGTTCTCCATTCAACGAGTCTCCAACACGTGGACCTGGACCCAAGCCGTTGGTCCCGGTCCGTAGTAGCAGTCACGTTGTAACTAGTGTAGTAACTAGTGTAGTAACTAGTGTAGTTAGCCTGGTGGTCACCACCATAGGTTGTTATTCTGTTAAGGGGAAGTTACCCCTTGTGTTGGAGTTTAATAAATGTGTTGCCGCCAAGTCTACGTCTGCGACTCAGTTGAACTCAGTACACACCGAATAACTGGTGGGCAATGGTGACAATTTGGGGGAGGCCTTCATCCAATGTTAGATTGATCATGGCTGATAATATTGCTGTACGCTGCCATGTGGTGCACTGCACCTCCTGAGCTTGGCCTGGCACACTGCCACTTATTTAAAGGTTCATCTCGGCGGTGCCAGCCCACCATTAAGTTCCGCTTCCGTAAAATTAAATTAAGTGTTCCCCCCTCACGTGCCTCCTTGATTAGTAACACCTCGAAATGCCACTGGCCGTGTTAAAAAATAATGATTTGAACTCACTGCTGGAGGGCCTTTCGAGTTTGATTTTTATTGCAGTACATTTAGACTTAATCGGGGGGGGGGGGGGGGGTATGCAATTAACAGGCGACATATATATTCAGTTGTGACGCTAAACATCAAGGTACCATCCATGGACCACTCCAGCCTTGGGGCACTTAAACACATGCCAACTTATTTTTAATGGTCATTATTGCTCAATTGAGAGAATGTTCTGGAGAGAAAAGCGGGATAATGGTTATATGCTTGCATATTTGAATATTCTATTCAAAGGGATTAAGATTTGTATGAACATTTCGTAATCTTCGTGAGCCTTTAAACTAAAATAAAAACCCAACTACAATCTGCCTTTTAAATGCGCATGAAATGAGAAGGAAAAAAAACACATTAAAATCTGGGTCAATATTTGCGTTCTTTGTGTGTAAGAATCTTAAAAGCATCTCAGATAATCAGCTTTATGAGAGTGTGTGCAATTAAGCACATTTTGCTGTGCCAAGTTTATCTAAGCTGCACGTAAAAGGTCAAATGTCGCACACAGAAAGTGTTTCAAGCGAATTTTCATCGTGACTTCTTGCTTCGCTGAGCAGGGTATAAAACCATCCCTGTGCTCATCTTCTTGGTTCTTTCGGTAAAGTCACGTAGAATGAGAATAAAATAATAAAACAAAATATCCTGAAGAAGGCTACTTGTGTTGTGGTCGAAACGTCGTGAGAATTGTATTGTCTTATTTTGTTTTATTGTTGTATTCTCATTCTACGTGACTTTACCGAAAGAACCAAGAAGATGAATCCTTGCAGTCACGAAAGCTTTAAATCGAAATTCATCCCTGTGCTGTAAGAAAATTGCTGCCGGCGTTGTGAATGCAGCTAATTACGAGACTATAATGAACAGCAGTGGACGCAGGTAATCGTCAGTGTCAATACGAATTCACGGAGGCAACTCACATTGAAAAGCTTTCATTCATGCACTTGTGTTAAATGGAATTATATGGTTTGGTCTGGTTCAGTTAACTATATACAGAATGCATGACTAAAAATCTGTATCCAGGGGCCTTAGTTTAAGAAACGGGCCTTTAAATAAATTAACTTTGATTGATGTATTACGTAATTGTAAAGTTACAATGAGTTCTCAATACGCCATTGGATGAAGGCCTCCCCATGCTTAATCAGTCACGGGGGTTGCATGATCATAGTTCGCCATGCTGGTCAATGCAGGTTAGTGAAAGGGACGACCCATGACTAATTCAAATGTCACACCCTACTGGTGTCAGCTGTGGCTGGAAATCAAACTCAGGTCACCAGATTAATTTTGGACTGTATCACCCAACATAAATATGCGTGTATATATACATACAGTGTCTATGTCAATATGAGAGCTGGATTTTAACCAAACAACTAGAGTTTTCTGCTTTTAACAAATATTTGGAATGCGTTAAAATCCTTGCACTGACTCCTATTAAACAAAACTAGAATATATTACAAAATTGCTATCCCGTGCTACTGAGCCCTCCACCCTTCTCATTCCACTAGTCACAGAAAATCGCCAGGTCCTCTGGAGTGTGTCTTAAAATCTGTTGCATCCAAGCACTATCCACCTTCAAGTTCAAGGATCATCTGTTCAGGCTCACCTGTTTGGGCCCACCTGTTCAAGCTCACATTGTTCAGCTGCCGTACGAGTAACTTTGAGCTCTGGCTCCGCGCCTCCAAGTTCTCAATCGAACAGCGCGTCCGATTCGCGAAATGATGTGCACAATAGCAATTGTGTTTGTCACAGGAGTGAGGAATGAGAGAGGAGAACGTTAATTAGAGTTTTCAGTCAACAAGGACATAAACGTAATTCACAACTTAAGAAAGGATGCTAGAACATGGACAAAGATAAAACCCAAATAGTCAGAGATGTCCCCGTCTTCACCAAATTCAACGCAGAGGAAGCATTCGCAGGGTGGTTCTATGCAAGTTACACTTAACCTTTGCCAAAGGGCGGGACAACGCTAGTCACAGGCAAAAGAAAATAGACAATTAACAAAAACAAAGTCAAATATATTATTTGGGTCTTTTGGTGGCTTTACCGAAAGACCCAAAGAATATGAATTCCTGCAGTCACGAAAGCTTTAAGTCAAAGTCGAATATGTGAATGCACAGTGGTTTTCAAATTAAAATCCCTAGATTTCTGGAAAACATTGGTCTCGAAGACCCAATCGGTAAAAAAGAAATGATATTACATCTAGATGTGTCACATTGTCCATTTACAATGAGAAGAGACGTTTCTGAACTTTGAATGCAGATACTAGATATTGTAAAGAAGGATAGGGTAAGCAACTTGGAAGTTCAGAAGAGATTGTGGCAATTGTTGTTGATGTAATCAAGAAGAGGCGTTGGGCCACATTTTCGGGATGAAGGAGGGCAGGTTACCGAGACAGGCGTTGCAGTGGCACCCAGAGGTTGACAATGAAGGGGAAGACCTACAGTCAGATGGTGGAATACTATAAGACCAGACCTTAGAGGTTGCACAAGGTGTCGACTTTGCAACACCTATGGGATCCAGCCAAGATGATCGCATGGAGTGGTGCCTGTGATAACCAATCGTTCTTGATGCAATTGTGTCCCGTGTATATGTAAGCGTGTATGTTTTACACTGTTTAGTTAATAATTAATCAACTGTGGAACTGTATTACGGTTCATATTTAGTTCACATAAGTGACTAAAGGTGACTCTAAAGTCGTTCGTTCATGACTACATGGGAGTGAATACCACAATTCTTTGTTAAACGTGTAGGTTTAAATTTGGTAATTGCAATAAGCTTATTTTGCTTTTGTACAAATAAAAACTCAACATATTCCTCATTAACAATGTGGCTTTATAAAAGGAAAATATATAATAGGTGAGGTTTTGGGAAATTACCTTTCTTCATTGCACATCATTTATGTGTTATGAAAAAAGGCCAATGCCTGAAAGATAATTTTGTTAATTGTGCTTGTACACCACTGCTAATGCATCATCACCAAATAATTTGTTTATTTTTTGCAATAAAACTCCAACAACCTTTCTGCAAAGTACGTATGTTGAACTTATTTTGCACCGTACATAGCCAACCATTTTAATCGGAGGTGCGAGGGGAAGGACATCAAACTAAACACAAAAACAGCAGTACTAAAGAAATCGTTTTTAATGCAGATTTAAAAGTGCTCCAGTGGCTTCCTAATATCGGAAGGAAGAACGTTCTAGACGGCTGCAGAAGCGCATCTGAAAGGGTGCGATGTGGATGACGGTCTTTGTTCGAATGCAAGCCAAAAGCTCTAAAAAGCTCTCAAGACCCCATCTAAATAGTATATTGGTCCACTCTTTAATGCTGGCCAAACATCTTGGCAGAGGCAGGAGCACAAACACGCGCACACTTTACAAACCACCACACACGACCTGCCAATCGACTGTGGTGTACAAGGGCAATGGAACATTCCAAATATGTACGCACTGTTTGAAGCCATAGCCACATGGACATTAATGGAAGCCAGCACTGATGCACCTCGACCACAAAGCCAAGCCCGCTACCCTTGAGCCGCCCACAATTACACAAGACAAATGAACAGAACTCAGATGGCAACTGATGCTCGGGGGGGTTGAATGCAGTCTGCCAAGATACTACGGAGTAACCACCAATTCAATCACACGGGATCCAACCTTGCGGCGGAAAAGTAAAAAAAATGAGTTTCGTTTCTTTTATCCGGAATGTTTTTCATCTGAAATTTGAACTAGCGGGCAATGCTCGTAGCTTAATGGTAATGCCCTCCTAAAATTGTGTTGATGCTGGTATTTTAGGTGCAAAGCCTTGGCATTACTACATAACTGGATGATGTTTCCTTATTATTATTATCACCATCATCAATGGATCTATCAACTACTGGATGAAGGTCACCCCAGTTTATTGTGAGCTTCCGTGGATTTGAAATGCAACAATCTCTCTGGCTTCTGAACATGAGCTACTTTTATTGCTCCATCTTTCACGTGTTCCCTCCAGGCTGTCACTTCATTTTTAGTCTCGCCCACAGTCATCATCCCTTATAGTCATGTGTCCTGACCAATACTAAATGTAAAAGCCCATATGATTTATTTTATTTTAACTGGCATATGGTCTGGAATCCCTATGTTCCTCTTTCTCGGTGGTAATTCCAAGCATGCGCCTCTTCTCCATGTTTTTTTGTGCACTGTTCAGCATTGGTTCCATTCTCATTAATGTCCATGTTTACTATCTCTAATTTATCCATTAGTCACTAATTAAAAACGTCTTCTTCAGTCCCATTGGTATGTAGTATTCTTTGCAGCATTGAGCACGACAAACTGTTTAATGTTTA